AACAATATAAAACAGTACATTACATATGTTAAAAACACATTAGACTCAGATTTTAAAAGCTATTTTGAAAAGGTAATGCATTTATGTTTTCCAGCTAAAAGAAAACACTCGCTTTTGAATACTGTAGTTGTCTGCAACAATTCATTCCCTTCTTTTTTTTTATTAAATAGTGTGTATTTACTTAACTCTGCATTTTAACCTGTCTTATGTCATTCTTATTCTAAGAAAACTGTAAAGATGCTGTGCTCAAAACCGCCATGTGCTGATATTTCCGTGACGCTATTAACTTGAACGGTGCAAAATGATAAAAAAAACAAAAAACAACCTCTGAAATTTCCAGATAAAAACTTGGACAATGCGGAGGATGCAGCGGAGCATTTCAAGCTGATTCAGGCAGCTTACGATGTCCTGAGTGATCCACAGGAGAGAGCTTGGTGTGTATGTCTCAACATGTGCAAAGAGCTTTTCCCGACAATATCTTTACGGTTTTATACAAACTGTGTCCGTTTAAGAATGTCTTCATTTGATGGCGTTGTCTCCTTCTGTGCGGCAGGTATGACAATCACAGGGAGGCTCTGCTGAAAGGAGGACTGAGTGGAGATTATGAAGATGACAGCATCGACCTGCTGCAGTACTTCACGGTCACCTGCTACTCTGGCTACGGAGATGACGAGAAGGTTAGTGTTAATGTCGTGTGTGCAAGGATTATGTTGCACAGTACTCACAAAATGGTCACATAAAACCTTCAACCAGGTTGTTTCTTCAGACAAGGACAATTTTAATAGAAACAGGATCTTAATCTGCTAAAGAAGCTTCCTTCAAACAATCCCCGAAGTCTCATTTTGTGGAGGACAAATCACTTTATGTTACCTTATGATATTTGGTCAACATAGCCCAATCTCCACTCTACTTTGTCTACGGAGGAAAAGGAAAAACTGTCAAGGTTTTATGAGGCTCTATAGCTTTTTTTAAAGCTATAGAAAGTAACTATCCAAATGAGTGACTTTAATATAATTTTTCCCTAAAAGATTTCTTTCATTAAATGCATTTTAAGTTACTTAAATGTTAAGCTGTACAGGTTTATCCACAGTAAGTTCAGAAATAAGTATACCTGACCTATGAATGATCTAGAAATGGAATCATAAACCCAAAACACACGCCACACAACTGGATTGGACGTCTCCTGATTTTAACAAGTCAATGTAACAGGTCAGACTGTCTGTCCTTGTTGGATGAGTGTAAGTAAGAGGAAGTAGTTATGAGATAATCTGAAGGCCAAAAAAGACAGCAACATTTACCAAAACTGTGGGAAATTATGACCCACTTAAAAAAACATTCAGTCTCAATGTCAGTTTGCAGGAACACACGGCCAATCTAACAAAACCACTCAGGATTTGATGAACCCGAGGTAGAATTGGTCTAAATATCAAACACCATGTTTGGCACAGAACCACTAGAGTGCAGCAGCTTGCCACGCAGGCAGAGGCAGCTTCATAATCATTGTGGGTACAGAAATTCTTAATGCGTCTCTCAAAATATATTTTCTCCTCTTGTTTTTATCCACTTCCTCCCCCTAGGGCTTTTACACAGTCTACAGGAATCTCTTTGAGTCCATTGTTAAAGAGGAGATGGAGCAAGGCAGGGTGGAAGACGAGGAGGAGGAAGAGGAGTTTCCTCCATTTGGAGACTCTCAGAGTGATTATGATACCGTAAGCCAGACCCACACTTGAAACACTTGTCTTGCAGTCATTCCTCTGTTGGATGATATAAGAATTATTTATACAATTCATTTACATGAATAAAATAGTAGTAAAAACTTAAGAGTAACAAGACTGAAATATTCATGGTCCCCAGCATTTTTCGTGCCTGTTGTGCTTAATCAGTCTCTATTTAATATTACAGGTAGTGCACGTGTTTTACGGCTACTGGCAGAGCTTCTGTACTCGTAAAAACTTTGCCTGGAAGGAGGAGTATGATACAAGGCAGGCCTCCAACCGCTGGGAGAAAAGGGCCATGGAGAAGGAGAACAAGAAGACCAGAGAGAAGGCTCGAAAGGAGCGCAACGAGCTTGTGCGACAACTAGTGGCTTTTGTCCGCAAGCGGGACCGCCGTGTGCAGGCCCACAGGAAGCTGGTGGAGGAGCAGAACGCTGAGAAGATCAAGAAGGTGGAGGAGCTGAGGCGGAAGCAGAAGCTGAGCCAGGCCAAGTAAGTAGGATGGATGGATAGCTGAGAAAATATAGGAGGAAAATAGTGTATACACATCACTCTGTCAGAAAAGGGCATCGGTTAATAAACGACACTCACTGCCCCCAAGATGTTTCTTTTATTAATGACGTTTTGATCCAAGATGGATCTTTGTCGGGTCTGAATGGCGGGTCTTGGATTGAAACGTAGTCATTAATAAATAACTTTTTGTGGCAGTGAGTAAGTGTGCAGGCTTTACTGTTGTTTAGTTGAGTAAATGTGAGATTTATTTTTCTATATTTCTTCCTCATACTCATAATAATATACTCTGTGTCCATCCAAGACTGGCGGAGGAGTACAAGGAGCAGAGCTGGGCGGCCATGTCTGAACTTGAGAAGGAGCTGCAGCAGATAGAGGCTCAGTACGGAGAGGAGTTTGGAGACGCATCGGAGAGTGAGGAAGAAGAGAACAGTGAAGAGGGAGGAGGTCAGTGAGATTTAAGAATCACTTTTACTTCTGAATTAAGGGGTTTTGTTGTGTTTACAGCAGCTACATGCGTCAGGCTGAAATGAAAATGCATCTGCGCATTAAGGCTACAAATACCAAATGGGAACTACAACAACTGTGATTGGTCAACACGGACTGCTTGTGTTATCGATGCCCGTAGAGATGGCTGAGAGTGAAGCAGGTTTCTTTTTAGAAACACACATCTAGCAAAGCCATCTCTAATGAAAACCTTCAGGTCACTGCAACACCAGATTTCTATTACAGTGAATACAACAACTTGAATACGGCGACTGCATGGATCGGTCCCATACTCAGTAAATGTGTGAAAGTAAATTCAGATACTGTGGGGAATAGAAGTAAAGGATTATACAACCTGATCAAGGAAGATACATCCGTCCTTGTTATTAACGGAAGAAATTAAAGGACCACCGTTATCCCCTTTAGGGCTAACACTTTTGCAAACTGAGCACTGTCAGAGCCACCGGTTTGTCGTCTGTTCCTCTAAATTAAAAAAGTTAAAGACGTACCATCTTAGGCTGTATTTTTACACAGTCACCTGTAGTTTAAATGTAACGTTACACTTTAATTATCTCAAAGGCAGCCAGTAATACTCCATACATCATCAGGCAAACCAATGCCAGCAGCTTCCACAGACCTAAATTGACAAATTGTGTTTGAATAAAAGTTAATCATCAGTGAAGAATAAAGTCTTGTTTTTGTGTATTTTCATTCACAGATACAGAGCAGCCTGATGGAGACGAACTCACAATTGACTATTATGATGATCTGTACTGCCCAGCCTGTGACAAATCCTTCAAATCAGATAAAGCGTGAGTGACTTCACACCCACTTCACCTACTTGCTGTATTCTGGACCTACGTGCTAATACACCTCGCTAGGCTATGAATGATTTTAGTGACGTTTTATCAGCACAGTGTCGAAGTGCACTAATGCAGTGGTGAAGAGCGCCATGCCTGGGGCTGCTTCAATCAGGATCTTCATGGTGCCAACCAGGAAGCGGGATGGGCATCTAAGACCACACATCCTACTTGGCATACATACAAAGCGCTGAAAAGCGTTCATCACATGTGGCTGGCACCGGCTGTGTCACGCAAAGCTTATTTTGATCCAAAGTGTCAAAAAGAGAAAAATAAAACAGTAGGTGTGATGTGACAGAATCTATGGCCTGATGTAAATGACAGACTGACTAAAATCTTAGGTCTATTTTATTTAAAATACTAAATGATTGCAGTTGTGGACTGTTCTTTTTCCACTCTGGTGTAGGTATTTTTGTTCTTACCAAAACAATGGAGGAAAGTTGTCATAGTCAAACTTGAATTACAAGGTCAGTCGTAGCCATTGTTTAAAAGTGTTGAGAATTTTTTTTTTTTGATTTCGTTCTGACTCATCAACCTGTTGGGCGTGATGAAGCTTTTGTTTGTGCAGCGTTTTTTTTCCTCTTACTCTTTACTACTAGTCGTGCACACTTCAAACTAATAATGTAGTTTTTGAAATGATCCATTGCGTTGGGTTTAACTCTTTAATTTATGATTTCCATGGAGAAATTGAGAAATGTCAATGTACTTCCAGTGATTACGTCACGTCAATACTTGTTGGTGATAAAAATACTTTTAAATCTCTATGTTCTCTATTTTCTTTCTTCTCTACAGTATGAAAAACCATGAGAAATCCAAAAAGCACCGGGAGATGGTGGCGTTGCTGCGGCAACAGCTGGAGGAAGAAGAAGAGTCACTTGGTTTAAACCTGGATGGAAAGGAGAGAAGAGACGAGGAACATAAGCAGGAAGAGGAGGAGGAGGAGGAAGAGGAGGAGGAGGATGACAAGCCAAGGCAAAAGTATGTAGCTGAATGGAGTATTAGAAAGAAAACGTTCTTTTCAACTGGTTGTCAGCGTGGTTAGAACTTGTTGACACATCAGACTCGTATGCCATGTCTTATTTGTCTCTACTGACATTTTTCTTTCCACCTACACAGGCTTTCCAAAAAGCAGAAAAGGAAAAAGAAACAGCAGAAAGTAGTACATGTAAGTTATAGTTTTTTTTTCTTTCTCTCAGCAGTTGTGCCTGTTTTTTAGTGTTCTCTCAATGTCTGTGAAGTGAATCTTTTTTAAAAGCTTTCTCTGTTCGTGCTCTCCTTCGCCATAGCAGAGTGCTCCAAAAGAGGAGGAGGGGGAGGAAAAACCAGTGCTGACCACACGCGAGGAAGATGCCCCCGAGAAGTCAGCGGACACTACAGAGCCGGAGGAGCAGGAGGATCTCCCTCCCACAGAAGTGAAGACGTAAGTCTATTTTTTGTTTTTGTTTTGTTTTTTGCCATCTCCACCTGGTTTCTCTGGATTTGTTCAAAAGTGGTTTTACAGTGTCCACACATTAATTAATCTCAAAGGCAGTCAGCTAAAATCTAATAATCAAAATTTTTATTTCTAAATAAAATGTCTTAAAGGTCCAGCGTGAAACATTTAGGAGGATCTATTGGTGGAAATAGAGTAGCAGTACTGTAAAGGCCGTCGGACGTCGTCGGACAGT